AGACTTGGATGTCTCAGGATGAGTCCAGCGCCTTGACGGAATTATTACCACCAAACTTTTTGTGTTTTAACGCACCGCGGCCATCAGGCCGGCGCGGTTGTGGATTATTAACAATATTCAAATCAACTTTTGACTGTAAACAACTGCCCATCCCAGTTCCCCACGCCAGCTTTGAGCTGAGCGTCTTTGAACTCGGACATTCACCTCAGACTTTATTTGCACTCGTCTACCGCCCACCTCGCTCTAAGGATTTCATAGATGAATTTTCTGACTTCTTGGCTGAAATCACACCAAAATATGAGCATGCTTTAATTATTGGGGACTTTAATTTGCACGTGTGCTGTCCTGAGAAGCCCTTGGTTAAGGACTTTTTAGATTTATTGGACTCATTTAATTTAACTCAGCATGTAAACGGTCCCACCCAAGAGTGTGGACGTACACTGGACCTTGTTTTAACTCATGATATGACTGTTAATAATCTTGTTATTGGTGATAATGTTTTTTCAGACCACATGCCAGTCCAGTTTGAGTTCACCCTCCCCCATCTAACTCCTAAGTCGTGTATTTCTGCACGTAGCACCCGGGCAATTAACCATTTCACTGCTGCACATTTCACAGGTGTTTATAACTCTGAAATGATCATTCAGCCCCCAGTGTTTCTCACCACCACTGAGGAGCTGACATCCCAGTTCAACTCTGTTTGCTTAAAGACTCTGGATCATGTTGCGCCTGTTAAAACTAGAAAATCAAAACTGAGAGCAGAACCTTGGCTGAGTGACGTCACCAAGGCCGTTAGGCAGCAATGTAGGAGGGTGGAGCGAAAGTGGAGGAAAGACAGGCTGCAGGTCTCTTTTCAAATACTTAAAGAGAGTTGGTGCCGTTATAAGAAAGCAGTGAAAGCTGCTAAATCCAAATACTTCTCTGATATAATTACCTCAAACTCTCACAACCCACGTGTCCTCTTCTCCACCCTAAACTCTGTTCTCCACCTCACTGAACCATCACCTCTGGAAGCCTCGACTGAGCTGTGCGACAACTTCTTACATTTCTTTTTGGAAAAAATTGCGACCATCTGGGCTCTTATTTTCCCTCCAACTCATGACCCATCCATCCCACTTCAATCTGTAGCTCAATTTGACCATTTTGAATCCATCACTCTATCTTCTCTAGGGCAGGTCATGTGCAGCTTGAAACCTTCTGGTTCCCCCTTGGATGTGGTCCCCCCTCGACTACTAAAGGAGGTTTTTCCAACTCTAGGTCCGTCCATTCTTGATATAGTAAACAGTTGTTTATCCACTGGTGTGGTGCCAAAATCCTTTAAACATGCTGATGTCCAGCCTCTCCTGAAAAAAAAAAACAAACCTTGACCCCTCAGTCGTTTCCAACTACCAGCCTGTCTCCAAACTCCCATATGTTTCTAAAGTACTGGAGAAAATAGTAGAGTCCCAGTTGAAGTGCTTCCTGGAGGATCACGCCATCTTAAGAGCTTTTCCAATCTGGCTTTAAACCTCTCCACAGCACTGAAATTGCCCTGCTTAAGGTCTTTAACGGCATCTTCAGATTCACAGATACCAGTGATTCTGTGCTGCTTGTCCTGTTGGACCTCACAGCCACCTTTGACACCATCGACCATGAGATCCTGATTGCTAGGTTAGAGCAGTGGGTGGGCGTCACAGGATCAGCCCTCAATTGGTTCAGATCTTACCTCGCTGACAGATCCTTTTGTGTCTCCATTAAGGATTTTAGTTCCGCAGAGGCAGAGCTTAAATGGGGGGTTCCGCAGGGGTCCATCCTGGGTCCCCTCCTATTCTCTTTATACCTGCTGCCGCTTGGTGCTATTTTCCGGAAACACAACATGCCCTTCCACTTCTATGCCAATGACTGTCAAATTTACTTCCCCCTAAGACACAATGGTACATGCTCGATTCAACTTCTGCTCAACTGCCTGGCTGACATCAGGGACTAGATGGCTTTAAACTTCTTGAGTTTCAATGAAAAAATGTCTGAAGTCATGCTGTTCCCTCCCAACGACACGATCACAAACCACTGTATCGACCTCTCCGCTCTAACCCTGTCAGAAAAACAAAGAGTCACTAATCTGGGCGTGATAATGGACCCTTGCCTGAAGCTTAACAATCATGTAAACATGATTGTTAAATCATGCTTCTTCCAACTGAGGCGGCTGTCTAAACTGAAGCCCATATTGTCCAAAAATAACCTGGAGACAATAATACATGCATTCATTACTTCTAGGCTTGATTACTGAAATTCACTCCTGTTTGGTATCAGTCAGACCTCCATTGCACGACTACAACTGGTCCAGAATGCAGCAACCCGATTTTTAACCAGTACAGGCAAAAGAGAGCACATTACACCAGTTTTGGCCTCACTGCACTGGTTACCGGTTCACTTTCGAATCCAGTTCAAAATACTCATGTATGTCTACAAATCACTGTACAGTGTCCCCCCCATCTCTCTGATCTGCTACAACCGTATGTCCCACCGCGTTCCCTGAGGTCAGCGGACCAGTTGCTCCTCACAGTTCCAGGATCTCGTCTTAAGCGCAGAGGTGACAGGGCCTTCTCTGTAGCAGGACCAAGACTCTAAAACGAGTTACCTCTGCTTGTCAGACAGGCCCCCTCCCTCTCGGTTTTCAAATCCCGTTTAAAAACACACTACTATTCAGTAGCTTTCAACACCAGATGATCTGTGTTTTGATACTGTATGTTCCACACTGGTTTGTCGTCATTATCTGCATCGTTTTTATGTCTTTATTCTGATTTACCTCATTTTGCATTTTGCTTGGTGTGTTACCTGCTGTTTTGTCTGTACAGCACTTTGGTTGGCCTTGTCGCGGTTTTAAGTGCTTTATAAATAAAGTGGTATGGTATGGTATTCCTGACCATCTCATTCTGGTAGGAAAGAGACTTTTAATGATCATACATCACAATAATCTTATCAGACACACTACCGTGCACCTTAGACACAATTTTTAACTACTTCACAATCAGAACCCGTCCAAAATCTGCCTTTTAAGTTTCCTCATCAATTAGACCTTTGATACAAAGCTATTTGTTATTCAGTAACTTTTGTTATGCATAATTTTCATCACATATATCACAGATTAATATTTTTATAATAAAATACATAAAATCAACTGAATTTGTGATTATTTTGGCATATCTGTGTGTATTAACTGATCTGATGCTCTTTAAACAAGAGAAAATAACTCACGTTTCAGTTTACATTAACTTGGGGTTAAATAGACTGATTTTTCCTCTCAAAGAGAGGCAGTGCCCACACAACAAGGCTATTTGCATAATAAATGCATATCTTATGAGCTTAACTCATAACTGATAATTAACTATATATATATCCAGCCCCATATCACCCTACACACATATATACATATACATAATATATATATATACACACACATATACATATATATATATATGTATGTATGTATGTATGTATATACTATATATACTAAAATAACCAACATTTTTCAGTCAGGTCATCTGGACAAATTCTTTTTTTTTTCTGAAACGTTTCACCTTCCATCCGGAAGGCTTCATCAGTCAAGGAAACACACAACTCTAAACTGATTCTTCCCCCAAACAGCTTACTCCAAAGTGGAACAAACCAGTTATGTTGTTGCTAAGATGGTCTCTTTGTCACGCCCCCTCCTCCATTGCTGGCCTTCTTCCTTGTTGACAGTTGTGTCAAACTGGTTGAAAACAACTAAAATAAACTACTACTTACTACTTGTACTACTATTCCTACTTTGTGGTTTTTCATTAGGTATGGATCCCTGCGACAAACGAGGGACTACTGTATAGTTCGGCCTAAACTTGATGCCAGTCCATACCAAATAATATTTCCAAATGTTCAAATTCAAAATAAACAAGAGAAGAAAAGTTGAATGAGCTGTATTATAAAAACAATGACCTCATATGATCTGTTAGTGTTCAGTATGTGTTGGGGATGACTCTCAGCTACTACCACACCAAATTCTAGCTTAACATCTACAAGACTGACTGAGGTATAGTAATTTTTGTGTTTGCTAATGTCAGTTCGCTGTAGTGGCTAACTTGGAATAAATTCAATCCAAAAGTTGTAGACGTACATCCACTGATTATATTTCGAGGGTTTTATTCAAATTTGTCAAGTGGTTCATTAGATATTTTGCTAACATAGAGGAAAACTATTTAATTAGCACTAACATCCTTCAAGAGCAGATGTGGGCAACATATGGTTGGAGGGCCAATGAAGGCCCTTGGACAATGTCTGTCTGGCCCTCGTTATATTTACTTGAAAAGAAAGCAACTTTTTATTACATTGCTGAAAACCGGCAACATATTACTGAAAGCAAAACTTGGCTAAATTAAACATGTAGAGGGAAAACACCAAAGACCTTTAGATTAAGATAAGCTAAAACTTTTTTTTAAGTCATGATTCAGAGCTACACTGAACCTTAACGACAGAAAAAAAGCATATAACACTATTTTTAATTTTTGCATAATTAAGCTAACAAATATGTTGTCACAATATTCTTAAAGAGTATTGGAGAGAGATATTTTTATCAAGCATGCTAACTATGCTACAACTAGAAAAAGCCTGGAAATGTTTAATAGATTATCAGTCTTAAAATATATATTTCCAGTTTTATTTTATGCGGCCCTTAAATAGCTTTAAATATCTTGATTTGGCCATCTGGAAAGAAAAGTATTGCCCATCCCTGTCCAAGAGGCTCAGCATTCCCAAAGTCAATGTGTCAATAATTTACATACAGTATAAAAGAACTGAAGCAGCTGCTGTGTATGAAGGACTGGGGTTCAAATGTTCCAGCTTTATCATTAATAAATATTTGTTCATGCTCAGTAGATGATTCAGGGTAAGAAGCTTTTGTGGAAAAGACTCAGTGAACACTCGGCTAAAGTAAAAGAGAATCTGAATGAAAGAGATGATTGGCAGCTGGCAGCTTTTCATGCACTGACCTGTGTTGGTCCAGGGATGCAGGACAGAACCCTTTCGATGTTCTCCGAGGTCACATCGACATCGTCCACTGCTACAAGCACATCGCCTGAATGAAGAATGACGAAAACAAACGTGCATCTGCTTTAATGCATAATTCGTTAACAGTGAAAACAAATGCTTGAAATAAAAATAAAAAACAAAAATGGTGAAATATTGGTCTAAAAAAAATGAAGTCCCCAAAAATATGTTCAGATCTGATGAACCCAAAGTTCAACGTTTTAAACACAATTTAAAAAGCTGAGTTTAGTACAGGGAAAAAAAAACAGTGAAACACCAAAGAACTCCACCCCCGCTGTGAAGCATGGCGAGGGCAACATCATGATGTGGGGTTGCTTTTCTTTAGCTGGAACAGGAGTTTCAGTCAAGGCGAACGGAAAGATGAACAGACGCAAATACCAGTTTTGACTCGAAGCATTCAAATGTCTGAAAGCTGAAGGTGAGGAAATCTATTTTTCTTTTATATATTTTTATACAACCAGCTGAATGCATCTTTTTATTCCGTTTTGTTCTGAGCTGCACCAGATATATGTCACAGTAAGGATGGAAAACATTTTAAAATGACTGATGGAGGGTTCACTTGTTTTTATCACCTGTCATTTTATCAGAAATGTGTGGACTTTTTATATGTGCAGTATATTTTAGCTGTATGGGCTCATTAAACTGTTTCACCTGCTTGGGCCCACAGAGTCGCGGCACCATCGCAGTAACATCGGCTGTTTCAGGTATTTAACTGCTCTAATCATTGGAGAGTTGCTGCGCGACATAAAGGTTTCGCCAAGCAGTACTTGATGAAGGCACACTGGACATAACGTTAACTAGAGAATGTGCATTTCCTGCTCAAATGCAGTGTGAATGCTTATTGCTGAAGAACTTGCTAAAACAAACAGCTGAAATTAGCTAAAAACACGCTGAAATGTAGCTGAAAAGGAAGAACAAGCCTAAGTTAGCAGAAGAAAGCAGAAAAAACACATGTGTTGAATTTGGTTTAAATGAGCAGAAATTAGCATGAAAATGAGTAAATTACCGGTAACTCTAAAAGCTGAAATTAGCAACAACAACAAAAAAAAGTGTCTGAAAAGTAGCTGAAAAGGTAAAACTAAGCTTAAATGACCAGATGGAAGTGGAGAAAGCACAATTGAGCCCAACTAGACTGAAAGAAGCAGAACTGAGCACAAAAAAGTGGAAATTATCTGAAAAAAAGATTAAATTGGCAAAAAACTGCTGAAAAACAGCTAAATAGCAGAAAGAAACCAATTTTTTTTTAGTTTTCTACATTTGCCTAATAATCTAGCTGCTTTTTCTTACTTTTGTTTAGTCATCTTATTTGTTAAAAAAAATCTGTATGCCTTTTTATAACTGTCCATTGTTGTCATCATTCTTTGTTGAAATCAGGTCTCTCTTGTAAATGAGTCCTCGAGGCTCAATGGGATTTACCTGTCTAAATAAAGGTTGAATGAATGAAAATAGCAAAAAGAAGCTTAAATTAGCATAAGTGGAGAAAACACGTTTGCTGAATTAGGCTGAAAAAAATTTAAATGGGTGCAAAAACTATGAAATTAGCTGAAAAAGCTAAAATTAGCATAAAACTGTTAAGTAGTAGCTGAAACAAGTGAAACTAGTATAACTAGGCTGAAAGGAGCATAACAAGCTGAAATTATCAGAAAGAAGTTAATTAAGCTTAAAGTCGCAGAAATTACCACAAAAACTTGAATTTATTTGAAAACAGCTGAAATTCGCTAAAAACTACTAACAAGTTAGCTGAAAAAGTAGAACAAGATTCAGTTAGCAGAAGCATGAAGAACACATCATCCATCCATTATCTTTTACCCGCTTCTTCCATTTTGGGTCACGGGGGTCGCTGGTGCCCATGTCCAGCAATCACTGTGCGAGGGACAGGGTACACCCTGGACGGGTCGCAAGTCCATCACAGGGACACATAGAGACAAACGAGACAAACAACCATTCACTCTCTCACTCACACCTAGGGACAATTTAGAGTTACCAATCAGCCTAACATGCATGTTTTTGGTCTGTGGGAGGAAGCCGGAGTACCCGGAGAAAACCCACGCATGCACGGAGAGAACATGCAAACTCCACCTTAAAGGCCCCCCGACCGGGATTTGAACCAGGGACCTGCTTGCTGAGAGACAGCAACTCTACCAGTTGCGACTCCGTGCTGTCCACGAAGAACACATGCTTGCCCAGTTATGCTTAAAGAAGCAGAAATGAGCACAAAAAGTGGAAATTATCTGAAAAAAGCTGAAATTAGCAACAACAACAAAAAAGCTGCAAAGTAGCTTAAATTACTAGAAGGAAGTTGAGAGAGCACATTTTTGCTGAATTAGGCTGAAAAAAGGTAAAACAAGTGAAAAATGTGGAATTAGCAGAAAAACCTAAAACAAGCATAAAACAGCTAAATATTAGCTGAAATAGCAGAAAAATGTGAAACTTGCATAGATAAGCAGAAAGGGGGACAAGCTGAAATGAGCATAAACAAGTTAGAAGAAGCACAAAAGTGTTGTAGTTAGCAGAAAGAATCTAAAAAGATCAGAAAACAGTGGAAAAAAAACAGCTGAAAGTAGCTGAAAAAAATGTTTAAATTTGCACAAGGAAGCTGAAAGAAGCTGAAGCAGAACAAAATGTGACAGGAGCAGTAAAATGTTTTAAACAGATCTAAAGATTTGAAGAATGGAAAATGAACTCAATTCATTTTCTACTGTGTGTGAAAAAAAAAAGGCAAAAAAAGGCTAAATATTTCAAAAAGCTAAAGTTGCACCAATATAAAAGCCATAGCACTCTTCTTCTGAAAGTGCTGAACATTTTGATATATGATTTGTTGAAATGGTACAAAAACTGTGGAACAAGAAAGATGCTGAAAAACATACGGAAGAAAAATGGATCACAATAGTGTGAATGCTTCATAAACATTCACACGACTGAGAGAGAAAAAAAATCACATCATAGACAACATACTTTGTTAAAACATTATGATTAGAGCTGCTACTTAGTTATAACTCTGCTCATTCACATCTTACTGACACTGAGATAACTGACGAGTTTCCTTTCAACAGTCTCACACCAATTTTCATTTTTCTTGAAAAGAACCGTCTTGTTTCAGTTCTAATTGTAGAAAACAAAATTATGGAGGTATTCAAACAAAAATAACCAGACGCAAAACACGTTTGCGACCTATCAAAGACAGTGAAATAAATATAATCTTACCTATTAGGATTTGACCACATTTTATGGCAGGACTGTTTGGTATTAATCCATGAACAGTCAGTCGTTCGTCCTGTCTGACCACTTCAGGGACTCCCTGGTCTGTGGTGCGAGCAGGGCGGTGCAGCACTCCCAGCAGGGCTTCCAGCAGCCCCCCACTGTCCCGCAGAGGGGTTGATGAAGCCGCCAACCGTTTGGGGTTGAGGTAGACGCACACCTCCTTCAGCTGCTGCTGCTCAGTCCCACCCTGCATGTGACCTGGCTGGCTCTTCAGGATGGAGGTCGGTGGCGATGTCGTCGAGTTCTCCCTGCTCCCATCGTTGTCGTTTCGGCGCTGAGAAGGGTGGCGTTTCCTCCTCAGGATCCTGGCTAACCTTTTGAGAGCGGGTTCGCCTTTCGTCCGTGAGCTGCGTCGCTTCGTGCTCTTCTGCTCCGTGATGATCTCGGCCTCCTTGTCGCTGAAGCGAACATGGTTAGTGGAAGCACAGTGGATCGCAGCGGCCTGGGCCAAAGCTGCCTCCTCTTCACCTTCACTCAGCTCCAGGTAGAACAGCTCACCGTTCTTCTGAACATCATCCAGCCATTCTGGCTCCAAGTCACTATGAAAAATAGAGCATTGAAAGACGAGTCTTTAAATATAAGAAGGTAAACAGAGCAGTTCCAACAAGTGGAGATTTAATAGTATTGCTTGTTGAATGTATATTGATGGTTTTTTAATGTTAATTATTTTTAATGTTTATCAGAATTTGAAAACTTTTCTTCTTAGTTGAGGGTGTTTTGCTCTTCATTCAAGTTTTGTCAAATTAAAATGCAAAGTGCAACACTTATACAATGCACTCACATGCAAATGACTCCCCCTCCACTCCCTTATGAGGGTGTTAGCAACCAGGCTAACACAAACTTCAAACTATTACGCTTGTATTTTAGTGAGCTTTGGCTGCTGGTGACATGAAAATAGCTGAATATTTAGGTAAATTTTGCTGGGAATCTCATTAAATTGGTACCAGTATCCCGTCTGTGCATACATGTAACTGTGAATAAATTATATTTGTACAATATTTATGTGGATAACATAAAAAAATTGTTGTAAATCAGCCATAAAGTGGTTTATTTATGTCCTAATATGACTGCAATATTTTGTCTCCAATATATTACAACTTGGTTTTATGGGCCCTCACACTATTGTCTCATGTTTATGACTCATGGAAACTAAATTGAGATGGCTTTGAGAAGGTTTCCAGATGCCTGCAACATCTTTAAACTACTTGAGGAGACGATTTGCTTTGCAATTCTTTTGAACAAAATACAAGCGACACGAGAGCGAGGCCCTGCAAATCATGCGAGGAAACAGAGGAGCGTGTGTGTCATATTTATTTATTTACTATCGATAATTGTAAGATGTGGGCTCATAACCTTTACATTAGGGTCATTTTCTGCTATGCAATGTTTGTGGACAGTCTGTGCTTTTTTAAAGATTTTTCAGGCAAATACTTGTACTTCTATATTCAAATATTTGTATTTGGACATAATATAGATGCAAATATTCAATTAAATTATTTTTAGTTTATTTATAACGTGCCAAGTCACAATAGAAGTCATCTCAAGGCACTGAACAGAAACATCCATACATAAAAATAATAATCTAACACTATTTATTTGAGGAGCAGACTGTTTTGAATTTAACTCCAACACAGACTCTCATCTATTATTGACTTGGAAATCTAAAACAATTAGTTTTGGGGGTTTTTAAATAAGAAATTGTGAAGTGGAAAATGTGCAGAAACCTTTGATAAGTAAGCACCCCTAAACTTTAACTCAGCACCCCTGAAAAAAAAAAAAAAACTTCTTCATTTTTTTGGGGTGGGTGGGGGTTGTGGATTACGGTTCTGGGTTTGTGTTCTGTTTATTGCATTTATGATTCAATGCAACAAAATAAACACATTTAAAAGGTAACATATCATTGTAATACTTGGTTTATTTACATAATGACTAATTGCTGGATGCCTGGTCCCTGAGCTGCTGCAGTTGCAGTGGATCCCAGCACTGGTCCTTGAGGAACACCATTCTTCATGTTTTAGTCGTTTCCCTGCTCCAACACATCTGATTCAGTGACTTAATTACTTCCTCGTGTTCTGCAGAAGCTCTAAATCACCCATTTATTAAAATCAGGTGTGTTGGAGCAGAGAAACAACTAAAACCTGCAGGATGGTGTTCCTCAAGGACCAGGGTTGGGAACCCCTATTTTATAAAGAGTGGAATACAGTTTATTCCATTTCCAAAATTTAAACCGAGTCTGGAAAAATGTAAAAAAAGTATAAAGCCCTGTGCCTGACCTCATGAGCAGCTGAATACAAGAGTGATAAACAGGAAGTACCACATGTTCATCTGTACAAAGTAAATCCTCCATTTTCTGTCATAATGACATCGTATGCCTAATGGTTAAATTAAAGGTTAATGCTTAAAGCTAGTTGTGCTTTGTTTTGTGTGTTTTATATGTAGATATAGCTATGCTGCAACTTCCGGTTGCATAAGTTTAGTCTTTGTTTGTTATGATCAGTTAAAACTAAACTGATTTTGTACAAAGTGTTTATTAGGTTGTGTAATGTAAAGCAGAGCACACTGTCTGTAGCATCTTAGCTAGTCGTCTGCTTAGCACCACTTCTTGTTGTGCTGAGCTCTCTAAAATAGTTATTAAATCAAGTGTTTACTTATGTAAGTAAACGTAGATGTTTAATAACCTGTTAAAATAGACCAGAATGCAGGAAATGGATCTACTTTATTAAAAAATGTTAAGGGGGTGGACACCCAGACCCCCCCACCAGTGTGTCCCCCCCAACATTATGAATGCTTCTGACGCCAATGGCCACCACATTGTTCAAGCACTGGGGGGCTAAGCACCCCTAAAGGTCAGATTCTAGAATCGCCCCTGCCTTTGACAAATGTCTTCTAAACTGTGAGGGAGGAGATAAAAACTACACGAATAAAGTAACAATTCGTCCCTTACAAAGCTGACTCCAAGCTGCGGTTCGAGTCACAAGTTTAGTTTTTAAAAGCACTCGTGTAAAAACAGACGACAGCTGATGTGCTTGTTACAAACTCCAGTCTTACTCTGTGCACTCGGAGCTGCTGAAACTCGACCGTGCGGATTCAGCGTCGCAGCCGCGCTCGCCATCTTTTTCGGTCTTCTCTCTCAACACAGGGCTCTCTTCACAAACGTAGCCGTGCGCGAAGGCCATCGAGTGGTGAACCGTTGTCTTTCGCTCGCGAGCAAACTAAAAAAAAACAACAAAAAAAACAACGGTTATTTGTATGAAATTTTAAGCTTACACGAGCAGTGATGGGGTTTCGCCATGTTGAAAATACTAGCTAGCAGGGAAGGTCACGTGACACGAGACCGCGCAATCTGATTGGATAGATAGAACGGTTGCCCCTAACAACGCAGAAGCTTTCTCAGTTACTGGTAAACGAAGTTCATTCAAACACCCACAAAAGAAAGAAAAAGCTACTTTTTCTCGCTCCCCTCTTTGGTTGGGGTGTGTAAACGCATCAGAATACGAGCAATTCGAGTCAGGGATAAAAAACGGGTTTACGTTTCGATTAAAAAGTGGTAATGTCACGAGCGCGTGCTTCAACGCCTCACTTAAACACTAGCAAAGTTAACGGCGCGTGACCGAGTGTCAGTTATCTTCCTAAACACCGTCAACATGCCAGAAAAATAAATAAATAATAATAATAATACAACACGGACTTTCACAAAAGGGCTTTTAAAAATTTACAGATACAATTAATCCTCACTGCCTGGGTTTTTACTTATTTTGCATTTAGTTTAATCGTCAAAATAAAACAGCAGCGTGATTTGTGCGCATGCACCGTTTGTGCGTGTTTGTTCACGCTCGCAGTCCAAAGTGAATAAAAACGAACTGACCTGTAAAGGAGAACACTGCGAACCGAGTCAAAGTCGTCCAAGTTGTTCTTTGAAAACGAATCCCCGTCTGTACAAAGATTAAACATGGTTTGTCTCATGCTGTCTCTGATGTGCACATTTATTCATAACTAAAGAAGCAAATCTGAATCTTTTAAAAAAAGCGTCCACATTCTGACGGAGCCGTCCAGCTCCTCCTCGGTGCTCCGACTCTTCATCACTGACGCTGTTTTTTTGTTTGTTTTTTTTAAAACTCCAGCACAGCAGAGAGGGATCCCAGCTCGCTTCTTGACAAGTTAAAGGGACATTTCCAACGTTTCAAAGTACAGTTTGGTGTTATGAACAATCAATATCTTACCTGTCGTAGGTAGTGGTATCATTTCCTCACCTGATGCATCCTCTTGACTTTTTTTTTTTTAAACTATCGTTGTTTGAATGGATTGCTAATTGTTTGGTGATAGTGATGCTGTCCTGGAGGTTTTTAAACATTTAGCTCGTCCCTGAAGTCGTTAAAGACCAAACGCCAATCTCTTCCTACAAAACAGCCTCCAAGTGTTTCAGCTGCTTTGTAGTTTCAGATTCTACTCTACTCCATTCAGAGGCTATTTAGAGTTCGGAACAACGTGTTGGTGAAGCTGCTCTGCTACTGACTCATTCGAGTTAATGATTCGAGTCCTCACTCTGAATCAGGACTCACAAGTCAGAGGTTTCAGTTAACCCGGTTCCTAAACGTCCTCTGGCAGACTGAGTTTGTGAGCCAGATTCGCACACTCTGTATGTTTGTAGTGGAGCTAGTTGGTTGCTGACTCACCTGGGATTAACAACTGAATCAGGACTCAAATGTTCAAGATCTCCATTAACCCGGATCCTACATGTCCTTGCCGACTGTTGTCAGGTCCACGAGTCAGCAAACTCAGACAGAAACAGCAGAATCACCGACAAGGTTCCTGCAGGCACCTGGTCGTCCGCAGGGACCACGAGTCGCCCGCGGTGCACGTTCTAAAACTAGCACTCATCATCAAGGAGCACCACCTAAAAATAGTCATTAATTGTGTTTTTAAATTTAAGAAATAACATGTGCAAGGATGTATATTTGAATTTAAAATAATTAAAAATAACTTTTTAAAATAATAGTGTCTGGGGTCAAAGTTCAGAATCATGCTTTGACCACGCCCATCTCTTCAGCGGTGCAGGTACAAGATATTTTTACCTCCAAGACGGGAAAATGACAGAAAAACATAAGCAAACATATTTTCACAGTGACTGGAAGGAAGAGTTTTTTTATTTCACAGTGTGAAAGTGTCTCGTTAGTGGACTGTGGCGACAGCAACACTTCATCACCAGCTAACAGATTAGCATCAATGCTAACCACCCCCCATCAACGAGCAGAAGAATGTCAGAGCTGAAGGCAGCTTTGAGCAACCGCCAGATGTTTTTCATGAGGTGTTTCCAGATGTGGCGCTCTTAATAGAAGCAACGATGAAATATGTGAAAAATAATTTCTTTCAAAAGAGTTAACGATGCGATTGATAAGTTAAAATGCTGCAGATCTGAGGCTCATGATTAAAAATGTCAGCTTGTTTGTTTACATTACTGATAGTTTGTATCTAAGAGTTCTTCTGAACATAAAAGGAAATAGTATTTTATGTTTAAATATCAGTTTTCTAATAAAGTAAGTCATCCATCATGTCCCCCTTGTTGGGGGCTGGAGCCCAGCTCAGCTGCTTTTAGGTGAAGGCAGGGGACACCCTGGACAGGTCTCCTGTCCATCACAGAGACAGAGACAACCACCCACATTCTCAGTCACAGCTAAGGACAATTTACAGTCACACAGAAGAACCAAAAAGAGATTCAATAATAATTGATCATATCTGCCATGCTAAGTCCTTACTGATAATAATTGAGGGGAGTCTTTAACATTAAGATATGATCAGGCAGTCATATATTCACATGTATGTAATTGTATTATTATTAATATTATAATTAAAAAGTGAGTCGTGCAAATTTGTTTGGATCAAAGAAGTAGCCCTTTAAGGTCAAGGTTCTTTATTGTCATTCGCATCACATGTGGTACATGAGGTGGGACGAAATTGTGTACACAGGGTCCCAGTTACATGTAACAAAAGTATAAATTGTAAAAGAATAACAGTAATAAGATCTAAGATATGAACTAAGAAATACGTTAAACTAAGAATACGCTAAACACTAATAGTGCAAAAGCAATGCACCGAACAGCAGCACAAACATGAGTCTGTGTGAGCAGGTGAGTAGGAAAGAACAGCAGCATGAAATAAATCAGCATCATGGATAATCAGCAGCACATATCAACAATCAAAAATGTGGCATCACAGTGATTCATTTTTAATTATTGTTCACGGTGATAATCCTGATTAGTGATCCATGAATAACAGCAGAGGTTGTCACTAGGTGACCTCAAGTTACCGTTTTTTACACTTTTGTTCCATACATCGTGCAATCATACAAACTCATGCCCAATTACCAACGACCATATCATTGTGTCTAATGAATATTTACCAACGACTTCTCTGTATGGAACAATATTATAAATCTGCTCCATTTACTGTTAATTACTTTGTTAACGATCTACTGTTAAGCATATTCTTTTCAAACAATAACGGAAACCACTCTGATCATACTCTTCCCCTCAATGCTCCGTGTAGAAGCAGTGAACGGTCATCAAAGATACAGACCAAATGACGTAAGTCATAGTCTGTATCCGCTTCGCGCTCAGGGAAGAGTATCATTAACTCTTCATCGTGGTTGGCGAGACCAAACACTTTAGAAACACATTTCTCAAGTTATGAACTATAGAAATGATCCCTGAAAGTATAGTCTTACCATTACACAACTTTTCATCACCTACTAGTATGAGCGCACGTACTGTTTCGATCATGGTGCAGTCATCACACATAGCGCGCGAACAAATGAAGTGAAATTAAACATGTATTTAATTTTTTTTAATCCAACGATTACACAAAAAAATAATAAAAGATGGGGGGGATTTTGCATGTACACATTTTTCACTACACGTATTCTTAGGAGGTTTTTTTTTTTGAAAGTGCATCGATATTTTCGGTGAATAAAAACAATCATTACAACATTGAGAATATAAAACAAAACTCAAAACTGATAGTTTATTCAAACTATAAACCTGTATTATTGACTGTAAAATTGTTTAGCTTTTGTTTTATTGTGAGACCCACAATGCTTTTCGGTAGCACGCCTCTCCTCTTCGTCTCTCATTGGTTAAAAGGTTGACACGTCATAGCAAGTTAGCCTCTTTGCTAACGACGATAAAAAAAATGGTAGTTTTTAACATTAAAACATGTCTTTGGGCTCAGTTTGATTAATAAACGCTAGAAACAGACTTAAGTATACAAATATGTCACAAAATAAACGGGCAGGATTTTTTAAATACAGAAAAGTTTAGGTGCACCTATTTTCGTCTTCCTACTCAAATGAACAACAACAATAAATAGTTCCTATCTGTGCCGCGAAAGGCGCAAAACGTTATTCCACTTTTCCACTTTTTTATTGGGCATGCATCAGGTTATTCCACTTTATTATTTTTTTTAAAATACATGAAACAGACTAAATGTCAGAACTACTTACAGGACATTGTTTTTATGCAGCAGCCAAAAGTTGGAATGCTCAAACTAAACAAACTACATTTTAAATCAGTAGTTTATTGTAGTATTCAGTAGTCAAAAACTCGTGAGAATATAAACCTGCAAAAATAACACTGTAATGAATGTTGTATAGTTCTCATAGTTTGTTTTTAAAACGGGTAGAATATATAAATTTTAATAATTTAAATAAAGATGATCTTCAAATCCATATATTTATTTGGCATGTTGAGTGATTAGGTTTATAAAACACAAATTACAAATTTAGTTCCTGATTAAATCGCAGCCACCACAAATAACTATAATGAATAATAAAACAATAATAATAATAATAAATTAACAATTTTAATATTTTTATATATAATAAAAATCAAAGTTATAGTTTCACTTTTTCCCTTTTCGATTCATATTGTAAATGAATAATGATACATTTCTACTACTAATAAATTTGTTATTTTGTAGTTTTTTACTTAAAAAAAATCAATTATGAACACCTCACAAGTTATTTTAAATAAAATATAGTTATCGGTCATTAGTGTTATGAGGTTTAGTATTTAAGCTTTTAGAAGTTTTTATTGTATGTCTGTGTATTTTTTAGTTGTGATGGATTTTGCACGAGTCCTCCTTCATAATTTGCTCCTACAGCACCCTCTGCTGGTGGATCGGCAGAATTAAAACGCAGCTGAAATTATTTATAATTAATTACTGTAATAATAATTATAATATAATATATAATATAATAATAGTTTGTCCAATTCAGGACTTCCGGCAAGATGGCGGGGAGAGTGGTTGAGCTGTGAAGACCTCCGGGTAGCAAAGCTTGAAAAACATGTAGTTTAAACAACTATGAAGTTCTGACTCAATACAAATAAAGGAGGATCAACCTGAAATCAAACGATCGTCCAGTGAAAAATAACGACAGGCAAAAGAAAAACAACCACGATAATGGCTACTACCAAAGCTAACAGCACTACTGTCACTCACAAAACATGGATACCGATGTCAAAGGGACCATAAAATGCTTTAACATCACCGTGCAAGCCCCCAGTACCTCACAAGAAGGTCCTAGCAACAGTTGAAAATCTACAATAAATTATGTTGAACTTTGGGGAAGAAATGAAACGGAACACGCTCTCTCCATTGCCAGCGCCAAAATCCAGGAGTGTAAAGGTAAAAACAAGAAGAGATAATACAACTTAAAGCTACAAACACTGAGCTGACAAAGAAAGTCCAAGATATTGAAGGAAAAGCGGCAGAGTGCTATAAAAGAAGATGGAATCTGTGCATTAAGGGCTTAAAAGAGGAAACAGATCAAGATACAAGACACAGATTTCATTAAGATTATGTCACACTGGAAAATAGAAGATAGACAAGAAGACTACAACAAAATGCTATTACATCATTCATAATATATAAACCAATCATGAAAAATTAATAGCTATAGAGATCTTTAAATTCTATAACAACTTATATACGCGGACCATATCTTCTATGAACGCAATAAAACCAAAATGTTTTTGAAATCACTTAGAAAGGTGGATCAAACCAAAAATTACACTTCCTGAATATATTTCCAGAGATGTGGTAACATTTTGAGTTTTATTGGAAAACAAAAACACAGAACTCGGGTTATAGTCTGATACTTCATCTGGCATAATTCTTTATTCATAAACAGAGTGCCCAGTTTTTAACTTAAAAAAATAAAAATAAAAACCTGAATTGCATTTACTGTATATTGAAACATATGAAGACCTGTGTGACATGCTAATGGAATTACCCAATAAATTATGTTAATCATAACCCTAAAATAAGACCATGCTGAGATTTTTTCAAATTTATGTAGAATGCAGAATTTTGATTATCTTTTCATATGCATCTTGCACAGGCAATTTTTATATTATGGAATATAAATTCAAAATGCTCTATGTAAACTGCAACTGATGACATTATTTTAAACACGAATGGAAACCACTCTGATCATACTCTTCCCCTCAAAGCTCCAAGAAGAAGCAGTGAACGGTCATCAAAGATACAGACCGCATGACGTAAGTCATAGTCTGTATCCGCTTCGCGCTCAGGGAAGAGTATCATTACCTCTTCATCGTGGTTGGCGAGACCAAACACTTTAGAAACACATTTCTCAAGTTATGAACTATAGAAATGATCCCTGAAAGTATAGTCTTAATCTGTTATTCCTTTGCATCACCTACTAGTATGAGCGCACGTACAGTCTCGATCATGGTCATCCCACGTAGCGCGCGAACAATAAATGAACGGACACATGTATTATAAACATGTATTTTTTTTAAATCCAACGATTACGCACAAAATAAAACATGTGGGATTTTGTGTGTACATATTTTTTTTTTTCACTAATGCGTTTTTATTTTTCGTTAGAAGGCGAATCGAAAATTTTGGTTGATAAAATAAAATCATCATAACACCGATAATGCAAACACAACCCATACCTGACAGTGTATTTAGATTTTAAACCTATAATTTTTACTATAAAATAGTTTATAAATTGTTTTGTTTGGAATACCCACGTTGCTTTTCGGTTCAGCGCCTCGTCTCTTATTGGTTGATGAGTTGGCACGTGATAGTGATTTAGCCTCTTTTGCTAACAACGATAAAAATTTAAAAAATTGGTCGTTTATAACCAAGATTATTAAACTAACAACAAATCGTTTGACTCAGTGTGATTTACACAAGCTATAAACAGACTTGAGTATACAAATATATCACAAAATAAACGTGCACGATAAAAAAAAAATTACCAGAAAAGTTGCGGTGCACCTATTTTCGTCTTCCTACTCAAAAGAAGAACAACAATACACAGTTCCTAGCTGAGCAGACGATAACGCCTTTCAGAGCAGAACGACAGGACATTGTTTTTATGCAGCAGCTAAAAGTTGGAGTTTTCGAGGAGGTAAACAAACTACATTTTAAATCAGCTGTTTGTTGATTTCAAAACTCGTGAGAAGATATAAAATAAGAAAAAATAACAACTTAATAGTCATAGTGTGTCCTTAAAACGTACAGTAGACAGAATATATAATTCGTAATAAATTAATATAAATACATAGAAAGATTATCTTTAAATCCATATATTTATTTGACATGAGGTTTATGAAACTCAAACTACAAATTTATTTCCTGGTTAAATCTCAGCTACCACAAATACAGTAACATAATTTTAATACATTTATATTTTTATTTATTTAAAGTCAAAATTATAGTCTCACGTTTTCCTTTTCGATTCATATCGCATTATTTATTGTAAATGACTAATAATACATTTGTTATTTTAGAATGCACAACTCACGTCATTTTAAATGAATATAGTTATCGTTTGTTAGTGTTGTGAGGTTTAGTATTTAAGCTTTTAGACGTTTGTGTTTGTTCATTTTTTGTTTTTAGTTGTTTAAATTGGATTTGTTGGATTAGCATGAGTCCCTTTGTTAAATCTCTCCTACAGCGCCCTCTGCTGGTTCATCGGAGGCATTAACACACAGCTCAAAGTTTCTCCAGTTCAGCGACGCATAGACAAATAAAATAAAATAAAATAAAATAATAACCACAACAACAACACAAATACACCAAAGAAGGGAATCAAAAATTTACTCCAATATTTTACTTAAGTAGTTTTGTATTTTAAACTCCCGTTTGACGATGACGTCATTTGTAAGCGACACCAGGCATGCTGCTAGTATCCTCCTCTGCAGTTTACACCTTTTTTTAAGCTTTGCTGTGTATGACAACATATTTTAAAGTATAGCAGCTGTCTATCAGGACATATACAATGTCCAAACCTGGATTTAGCTGCAGCTGACTGATAAAACAACATTTGAAATGTGTGAAACACAAGCGAACGGTGCTTCGGATCTGCTGGATCTTCTTCACATAGACCTGGAGGCGGATGGAGAGGACACAAGAACCAGGAGAGACAATACAGAGTGCTCTGTAAGTATTTCAAAGCCTTGTAAATAAAAAAAATAAAAAAATTACAGCTATGCTTGACGGATACCAAAATATGTTTTAATACTTTACAGGTGCGTGTAATTAGATTAAATTGACGTTTAAACACTTTCTGAATATTATTTTACTTCAAATACATTTCTCTTGTTTACATAATGAATGTATCTAATTATTATGATCTGAAATAACAGTTTGTTTTTAGGCTAAATATGATCAGCAGCAAGAAAAGTATTCCCCGTTTAAGCTTTCATGTTATAGCAACATTATAATTGAATTACATTGAACCTGTTTTATTGTCCTCATAAGTGACAATCTAGTTTAATAATAATTTTGTTTTCTTGTAATGTAGGCCAGATTTTATAAGTAATGTGTCCTATTTGCATATGTGTGAAAAATAATAAGTGTTTTTTTTGTTTGTTTTGATTTCATGAACAGAAGAATGTACTGAGGAAACAAAGGAACTGGAAGAGACAGCTGGCTGCCAAGAAGAGCAAAAGAAAAGACGAGAAACAGAGGAGGAGAATCCACCGAGCACAAGAATCCAGTAAAAATACAGAGTATTTAAAAAAGAAACAAGTTGGGAAAACTGAGAGTCAAACTATTCGGATTCTACAAACATTTGATTTGACTTTTTTGTTCTTTCTTTCCCTCTTTCTGCAAAGGTCCTCACACAGACCATCCTCAGTTTACCAAACGAGTCCTGAAGGCGATCACAAAAGAGCGTTTGGCCGAGGCTCAGACCACCGGACTCAGACTGTGTGTTGACCTCAGTATGACAGACTGCATGTCAGACAAGGTGGGTGGCAGGGATCAGACCTTACAGCCATTTTAAAATCCCAGCACAACAAGAATTCTGGTTTCGACGTATACGTTCCCTGACACTGAAAATAAAAGATTGGTTTCCATTTTGGTTAGGAGATAAGCCGACTGGCTGGACAGTTACGGCGTCTGTACGGGTCGAACAGGAGAGCAGCTCAACCGTTTCACCTGATCCTAACCGATCTGAGAGAGGACACTCAACTCTACAGGGAGTGTGTTCGCATGAATGATGGCTTCCTCAACTACACAGTTATTATGTGTTCTTTATATCTCAGTAAACTTTTGTCATAGGGGAACATAAAACATCCAGAAAACTCTTTTGAGTTTTGACAAACTCATCTGGGTTTATTTTTTTTATGTCTTCTGATTTCCAGATGGAAACAACACAACAAAATTGTTTAGACTTATTCCCTCCAGAAGCTGTTGTCTACCTCACTCCTGATGCTGAAGAAGGTTTGGCAACGTTTAGTTTATTCTCACACAGTTTTAAATGTTAAATTATGCAGCAGAGATCATTTCTTTTGAGATGTGGACGTCAATGTTACATTTTAACCTGCAGAGGGCGCCATTCGATCAAAATGTGCTCACCATTCATCATTTTCAAAAACTGAACAAACCATACCAAAGAGAACTACACAAAGATCCACAAACATATTGATATGCATTTGTTTAAACTTACACATTTCTTCTCTTGGCTCAGCTTTGCAGACAGTGGATGCGGACAAGGTGTACGTTCTCGGTGGTCTTGTTGATGAAAGCATCCAGAAGGTATTAGAATATAACTTTATCTTCTGGGTTCTCAAACTGTAGGACGCGATCCCTAGGGGGGGTGCAGTGTCATAGGAGTGTGTGTATGGTCTTCCATTTTTTTGTCTCCAAAAAGTTTGCAGTCTTAAGGCATTCTTGTGACGCACACTGCGTTTCCATGGCGATTAGCTGGACCTATTGCTTGTTGCACAGAGTGAAAAGTGGGTCAACGCCTTACTCATCTGGTGCATGACCCGGATTAAATTAGTAACCAGAACTCTAGCTGACCATGTTAATTTATTTGTAAAGTCTTATTCTTGATCAGGAGCAACAAATCGCTCAGATCTTAATAGTATCTTTAGCGACTTCAATCCACAAAACAAAGCTGCTGCCGGCTGAGTTGGTTTTGCTCTGTGACGCGTCTCCGATGAGCCACGCTGAGTCCGACTTGTGTTTTCTGTATTTATTTTAAAACGTAACACGATGAACTTTTGACATCCATCAAACAGCACCTGTGTTAATTTACATCGTTTGTATGGCTGAAAATAACGATGAAGGTGTCTATCAAAAATGACGTTCAACAGAAAAGTTTACAAAAAACCTACTAACCTGGTGCCATGACTCAGATCAGCTAAGTAACATGTGACCACACTCCTCATGCAATTACCTCAATGGTAGGACAAATCTGAACACCTGTGCCATAACAGTCATTTTGGCTCTTACTAGACCTGTCGCAATAAAAAAAAAAAAAAAAATCAATTAATCACATGATAAATGAAAATTATCAGCCTCATTTTCATTTATCAGCTTTATCGTTTCTTCATGTCTCTCTTTCTACTGAAGACACTGGGTGACAAAAGACTCAACTCCAGTGCTCTTCACTGACCCCTCCCTCTCTTTTCTCTTTAAAATCTGTTTTAACCGTCCAAAATCTCATTTTTGGATCGCTAAAAGCAGCTAAGTTGAGAAGCTAAGCTACAAGCTAAGCTAACAGGCTGACCTCGGGGAAAAAACCTCCGTCTTGTCGAAGCTCCAAAATTCACGGTTGAAACCTGTGCCTTCGTGTAAAACGTTTTTCGCTGCACAAAGGAGCTGAGAACTTGTTTGCTGATTTTTTTATTAAAAGCTTTGTGTGAAAAATCCTATGCTAAAGAGCTCAAACCACACCGAGCGTCCGCCATTTTGAGAACCGAAAAACAGGAACGAGAGACAGCCCATGTCATGTCAAGGGGCCTCCCTCCCATTTTTCTTAAAGAGAAACGCTGCTCGCTCCCTCACTATCCATCCTTCATTTCAAACAGTTTTATACTGCCATCCGGTGGTCAAAAAAGGTACTACACACAAAATTAACCATCATTTCTTCTTAAAATTGACAGTAATTACCAATTATTATCAAATTTCAAACAATATTATCGTTTATTGCAATAATTTCTGAGACAATTAATCGCCCAGCAAAATATGTTATTGTGCCAGGCCTAGCTCTTACAGTATGTGTGTAAGGGGCAGGTATGACAGTTGTCGTGTTACATTTTCAACCTTGTTGTGTCTCCGCTGCAGAAGCTGAGCCTGTCCAGAGCCAGAGAGCTGAGCGTCCGCACAGCCAGGCTCCCCATCGACGAGCACATGGTGAAGAGAAACAACGTGAAGAATTTCCACTCCAAGATTCTTGCAGTTAATCAAGGCGAGTGCCGATATCGGTGTTTGAGATGTTTTTAAGTCTTTCTGGTGTCTTTTGTTTGTAATATTTATTTCTTTGTCCACAGTGTTTGACATCTTGTTAACGTTCTCTGAGACCGGCAGCTGGACTCAAGCACTGCAGGCCTGGTTTCCTGCGGGAAAGGGTTACGTAATCTCATCGGGGTGCTCAGCACTTCCTGCTCCAGCACAAAGTCAGGACGACGGTTAAAGATGCAGGCATTCACAAAGAAGGACGTTCTAATTTAAAGACTGCTTTTCCAGTTGCAGCAGTGTCTGCAAGGAGGTGCAGAGTTTTGCTCTTTATAGTTTGTTTTGTTTTCATTCAGTTAGGATCAGACGGTTTTCAGGTTGTGTCATGTTTTCTTTCCACGTTCTGGCGTGTTTTAAATGGATCTAAACATGGATTCAGATCTTGTTCCTCCGTATCAGTCTTCACGCTGTTTTCCAGAGTGCCTAAACAAAAACATTTGGGCTCAGACAGTTTTAAAATGTAATCTTTTTTGCAGGTCTTTGTGTTTTCTTTGCAATAATCATGATTTTATTTTGTTAAAACTTAGCTTTGGGCTTTAGCCTGTCATTTTGAGCACTGTTTAGTTTTTCTCTTGGGATGGATTTTTTAACTTTGACTTGTTGTTTTTTGGTTGGTTCACCAACTTCTGTTGTAATAAAACGTATCCACACTCAGGTATTTGATTGATGGAACTAGGGATGCACAATATTATCAGCATGGTATCGGTATCGGCCAATATTAGCGCTAAAGTTAAATATCGGACATCGGTCATTCCATCAAAATAACTCACCAATATAAAAGGCTTCTGTTTTAAGTAAATTTTTAATTTAAGAAACTGTAAAGTATATCTATTAATGCACTACTACTTATGCACTTTTCACTTGTTGCTTGTGAACAGGTTGAGTTTAGATTGTGAAAATTTACAAATTTGCGCTGTTCGAGTGTTGTCATTGTGTTAGAGAGTGAATGTCATGAATAAATTTGACATTAAACATAATACAAGTTGAAGTGTTGCATCATTTTCAGACTCCTTTTTGCCATCTGCATTTGGTATCAGGCCAAACTGACAAAGACCATTCAGAATAATGTAGTATTTTAATTCCCTAGCAGAGAAAGCTATGTAGTCTCTGTAAATAGGTCTAGGGAAAAATATCGGTATTGGTATCGGGTTTTGTCCAAATCAAATTTAATATATTAGATATCGGCCCAAAATCCAATATCGTGCATCCCTAGATGGAACCAATCAGATTTGTTAGGCTCTAATTCCAAAGTGCTTTCCTCTGTGTAAGGACAACATAGTGAGTAATCTGGGTTGATACATTTAGTTTTTCATTCTATTGAAAGTTTTTGCAGGATTTCTGTGAAGCTGATCATGGAAAAAAGTTTAAATGTTCTCAATTTCCACTCAATTCACTCTACCTTTAAAGGCCAGTGACGGCTAATTACAGGTTTTAACAACAGCTTGAATATTCTACAAGAACTTCACATTGATTTTCCATCATATTTTACACAAACACCAGATTCAGGTGAGTCCTTTGATTAAAAAATACACAAACGGTGTGATGGCTTCTCAGCAGTGGTGGGATGTAACAAAGTACTTTGCTACTGTACTTAAGTACATTTTTCATGTATCTGTGCTTTACATAAGTAGAGTTAAACGCGGGTACTTTATACTTTTACTCCACTCCATTTTACATTAAGTATTTTTACTTTCTACTACATTACATTTCTAAAATGTGTTGCGTTACATGTTACATTCACTTTGCAGTTTTTTGATTTGTTTAGTTTGAAGTAACCAATGGTGAGAGGGGAGTTGGTCCATTGAATCACTGCAGAGTGGGAAGGTAACGTTAGACCTGCCATCAAGAAGAGCTGGATCATTGACGTATATTCTAGTATATATGTCCTTGAGCTGGATGCACCCACAGCACCACTAACACACCCAAACTGGATTCCACGGCGGCAAGTCAGCCAGAAGATGCATGCTGCCCATGGCCTTATTGAAAGACTATTGAAAGACTGCTCAGTACAGCAGGACAGATTCTCTCTCCCAAAAGAGCCAGACTGGACTCAAAGATCTTTGAAAACCAACTTCTTCTGAACTTGAACAATAAATTCTTGCTGCAATATTAAAATGTGTCAGTGCATGGGATGTTAGGAGACGAGAGATGTCTCCAAATGGCTCGACACTCAGGTCCAAGTTTTGAAAATGATGTCAGGAAGTTAAAATATTGTTCACTATTGACCCAGGACACGGACCTTTTGTTAGGTCTAATGCTCCTTTTGTTCAGGCAGATAGCTTTTACTTAAATGTGTTTACTGCAGTTAAAATGACACATTGCTTTTGCTTTGTGTTAAGTAAAAACTTACAAAGGTATAATCATTCCTCTTTCTTATTTTGTTTAATGAGGGTTAACTCTGCAGGTCATCCCTGAAATTCTGATGCACAGAATCACAAGTCCGAGTGTGAAGTGTGTCACAATAAAAGCATGCATTATCTGCAGCATTGTTCATTAAAACAACACTATTAATGTATTACAGAAAATATACGGTAGACAGACACACTTAATGATATTGTAGACCATTGCATTAGGTAATACATTCAGCAAGTACTTTTACTTTTAATTACTTACTTTTAAATACATTTCCAAAAGTTATTTTTAACTTAGTTTGTTTTATGTTAGGGCAGCACGGTGGCACAACTGGCAGAGCTGCTGCCTCTCAGTGAGCAGGTCCCTGGTTCAAATCCCGGTCCGGGGGTCTTTGTGAGTGGAGTTTCTTCCTACAGACCAAAAACCTGCATGTTAGACTGATTGGTAACTCTAAATTGTCCCTAGGTGTGAGTGAGACAGTGAATGGTTGTTTGTCTCGTTTGTCTCTATGTGGCCCTGTGATGGACTTGTGACCTGTCTAGGATGTACTCCGCCCCTCGCACAGTGATTGCTGGACATGGGCACCGGCGACCTCCGTGACCCCAAATGGAAAAAGTGGGTAAAAGATAATGGATGGATGAAGGATAGTACAAATACAAGGTGTAAAACGTGGACTACATCATGCTAGTGGTTTGTTAGCCACTTTAAGTCGACTTCCAGTCTCAGCGTGATCTTTCTCTCAAAACCACCAGAATGTTTTGGAATGTCTTTAAGACAAGCTGCTGAGAAGGAATATGGTAACTCTGATAACACTAAGAATAAAACACAAAAAACAAAGTCAAAGTAAACAAAAGTATTTATTTTTCTTCAAAAATATAACTGGATATGCAACAAACTGGCATAATTTTATACTGTCTTTAACTTTATGCTTTAAGTAGGATGTTTAGTTCTTCAACAATTAAAAGAACTCACATCGGCCTGCAGAGTTCAGTGTTTCAATTTTTATAAAATTGTTAAATATATATATATATTTTTTTCTTTCTGTACATGAATCTAGTCTTTTCTTTTGCATTAAAATGTAATGTAAATGTTTATAATATCAACCCCAGACTGGAAAATCCTCCAACAAACTTGTAGTGGTCCATAAGCCACCAGTTGACAGTACACAGATGTAGCAGGTTTTGTGGCTCCGGACATCGTAATTAATATTCAATGTGGCAAAAATGGCTCTTTTAATCGCAAAGGTTGCAGACCCCCGGTATAGGGAGATGTTAAGTGTATTTTGTTGTATTCAGTGGCAGCTGGTATTGACTCTAGTCCCTCTTGAGCCTGCATGAAGCTAACTGAGACATTAGCTCAGAAGCTGACAAAGTAAAAACTTTTTTGTGCGAGTTTTGAATATTTTTTCAACCTAATAAAATTAACATCACTCTTCTCAGCCTCTTTGCATTTGGGAAATTAGGTATTCTTAAGTTTTTCATTAATCTTTCCCAGGAGGTTGAAGCAGATTTCTCTGTGGAACTAAATCTCTTCTCTGATGTCATGTATTTCTTGAAAAAACATTTAAAACGACTGTAAATATCAGCATGAGAACTCCTACGCATTCTTGGATCCTGGCTTGTGTTGCTTTTTAATTTCACTAGAACAAAATCGTGGTGCTGTGAAATCTAATATTAAACCAGTTGAGTCTTAACAATAAGGATTACATTAAAACGGTTTACGCTCGTGGAGTTTATGGGGCCACGGTCTTGTCATCCTGAGGTCTCAGGTTGCGTCAGGGAGGGTAAAATCACAGCAAAATCCTTCATGCGAGGTGACCCCTGCCTGCAGAAGGGAGCAGCTGAAAGAAAAGCAACTTTAATGGAGTTTCAACAATCTTTAGTTTGTTTACTCTGCCATAAGATTCATGTTGCGGTATGGCTGCTTTTTGGTTCAGGGACTTAGACATTAATAATTAAATAATTAAACATTTTTGGGGGAGATTTGACAGAAAAAAACTGAAAAACAATATTATTAACACAGCACCATTTAAATTTATAATTATGTTGTCATTAATTTAAAATGTTTGTAAGTAATAAAGTGCATATTCTTGCACAAAGTGCTACAAATGGCTGCTACTACACTTTCCAAAAGCACAGAACAAAACAAGGGTTTTATTGTAAATAATAATAAACTTGATGGTGATGTGAAGGTTCATGATATTGTTTGCATGACCCACTTTGAAAGTTTTGTGTGGAGTTGTGTTAAATAGGGTGGCACGGTGGTGCAGTTGGTAGAGCTGCCACATCAGAAGGTCGCCGGATCAAATCCTGCAGGGACCTTTCAGGGTGGAGTTTGCATGTTCTCTCCGTGCATGTGTGGGTTTTCTCCGGGTACTCCAGTTTCCTCCCACAGACCAAAAACATGCATGTTAGGCTGATTGGTAACTCTAAATTGTCTCTAGGTGAGAGAGTGAATGGTTGTTTGTCTTGTTTGTCTATGATGGACTGGAGATCTGTCCAAGGTGTCCACCGCCTCTCGCACAGTGACTGCTGGATATGGGCACTAGTGATCATGTTGGATAATTTAATTATCCTATCATCGACTCATTAAATAAATCAGCCACACAGCAAAGGAGAAGATCTTTTTTGCCCAGATTTAATCTTGCAAGAGAAGCAGCCGTTGATAAGCCAGGTTACAGGATGCTACATCACGCCCGGTTCTGCTCCTAGGCAGTATAAGGAAGTGTCTGTTTACAATGGTACAAAGGTGAGGTCAAGACAACTCTGCTTTCCAGCTTAGGGCCTTGAGTTTATCAGGTGAATGGCTCCATGCTTCGGCAGGCTCCACTTTGCAAAGACAA